CCACACCTGGCCATATGTAACTGTTCTTAGCACAATGCCTGGCACAACAGAAACACAACATAATATGGGCTTTAAGAAAGTAATGGTAAAGTAAATATTACATAAAATTTATCATTAGTGACATTTAGTAAATTAGACAGTATTGTATAACTATCATGGCTACCTAGTTCAGAATATTTTCATAACTCCAAAAAGAAACACCATAACCATTAAGCAGTCAATCTTCATTCCTGTCTCCCCTCAGCCTCTGACAACAACTAATCTGCTTTCTGTGTCCATGTATTTACCTATTCTGGAAATACCATTAAATAAAATAATATTTAATGGCTTTTTGTGTCTGAATTCTTTCACTTTGCATGTTTTTCAGGTCTATCCATGTTGCAGCATGTATTAACACTTCCTTTTTATACTGAATAATATTCCATTGCATGGATATACCATCTTTCATTTATCCATACATCAGTTGATTGACATTTGGGTTGTTTTCACCTTTTGTCTAGTGTTAATAGTGCTGCTATGAACATTCATGTATATGTATATTTTTGAATACCTCTTTTCAATTCTTTTGGGTAATACCTAGGAGTAGAATTGCTAGATCGTGTGGAGTTTCTATGCTTAACTTACGAGAAATTACTATGCTATTTTTCCATAGCAGCTATTCTGTTTTATATTTCTACCAGAAAGGTAGAAGATTCCAATTTCTCTAAATCCTCTCCAGCACTTGTTTTCTTTCATTTTGTTTGATTTTTATAGTCATCTTAGTCTGCATCAAGTGCTAGTTCATTGTGATTCTTATTTGTATTTCCCTAATAACTAATGATGTTGCAGATCTTTTCATTTACTGACTGGCCATTTGTATATCTTCCTTAAAAAAAAAAAGTCTATTCAAGTCCTTTGACCAAAATGTTCTTTGTTAAGTAAAAGTTTTAATTTTGATAAAGTTTATCTATCTTAATTTTTTTGGTTATGTTTTTGGTGTCATGTCTAAGAAACCATCACTAAATCCAAAGTTATGAAAATGTATCCCTTATGTTTTCTTATAAAAATTTGATGGCTTTAGTGTATATATTTAGATCTTTGTTCCATTTTGAGTTAATTTTTTGTATGTTGTGAGGTAAGGGTCTAACTTCATTAGTTTGCATGTGGATATTCAATTGTCCCTGCAAGATTTGTTGGAAAAAAATATTCTTTCTCTGTTGAATGACTTTGGCACACTCACTGAAAATTAATTGACCACAGATGTGTGGGTTTATTTCTGGGCTCTTCTATTTTGTAAATCTATATGTCTATCTTCATGCCAGTTTGCCACACTGCTTTGATTACTGTAGGATTGTAGTAAGTTTTAAAATCTGGAAGGGTAAGTTCTCTAATATTCTTCTTATTTATCAAGATTGTTTTGGCTATTCAGGATCCTTTGCAATTCCACATTAATATTAGGATCAGCATTTCCATTTCTTCAAAAAGGGCCAGTGAGATTCTGATAGGGATTGCATTATATCCCTAGAATACTATGGGGAGTATTGCCATCTTAACATTAAGTTCTCCAATTCATGATCATGTGATAGCTTGTCATTTATTTAGGTTTTTCATTTTTTAACAGTGTTTTGTAATTTTCCTTGTATAAGTTTCCAATCTCCTTGATTAAATTTATTCCTAGGTATTTTACATTTTTTTGATGCTACTGTGAATGAAATAATTTTCTTAATTTCCTTTTCAGTTTGTTCAATGCTATTCTATAGAAACACAAGTGATTTTTTTTGAGTGTTGGTTTTATACTCTCCAACTCTACTGACTTAATTTATTTGCTTTAATTTTTAAAAATTATCCCTTAGAGTTCTCAGCATGTAAGATCATATCATCTGCAAGTTTCCCCTTCCATATTCTTTGTTCATTTGTGTTTTGATCATCTGTCTAGTTGTAAGAAGCTGCTATTTCAGTGTATTCTAGACCAGAGCTTCTCAAACTATAGTGTACTCATGAATTACCCATGTATTTTAAAAGGCAGATTCTGATTCATCAGGTTTAGAGTGGGACCTTAGTATCTACATTACTAACAATCTGCAGGGTAATGATGCTGCGGGTCTCGGGGCTACCTTTTGGATAACAAAGGTTATAAGAGAAATAACTGCACAATGAAAGAGAGTATAAGTGATAGAGTCAGAATACTGGGTCATTGTTAAAACCCAGAAGATATAAGTCAAAATAAATCTTTGAGTCTCTTAAGGTGTGGACATGCTTGCCCAAGCTTACAACTTAATTTTTGTTGTTGTTTTTATTTAGTCCTAGATACATTACTCAGGTAATTGAAGATCAAAAGATAAGTATTTAAATGTTCTGATTGTTCATTTTCAAAAATACAAATATTTCCTCAGAAGTAGCCCTTATATTTATATTTATATTTATATTATACTTATATTTAGTAACAAAGGAGCTACTTATATGTCTCATGGGTAGTTAAAGAGGTATGTAGCAATATCCAGAGTTTGCATAATCATAGTGACCAGGATATCCAAATATTTTCCAAGTGTATCACAGGCATTGTTGAACAATTTTCTTCTCATTGCTGCATTTATTAACCTGTATAAAGAAGCTGACTCTTCTGCTATTTGAACTTTGATTATCTCCCCAAATTCCTTCACCAAAGGTATGTGAAAAAATTGTAAAATCACTATAAAATATATTGCTTCAATAAATCAGCTCACATATCTGATGATTACAAAGAAAATCAATACAATGAAAGACAGTCTGTTTTTATAATGTTTCATCTAATTTAAAAAATAAAGTGGGGTCTGAATCTGAAATGTCTCAAGGCAGAAATTAGTGAGTTCTCCAAAGAGTAAGACACCTGCAGCAGAGCATTTCAATTCCTCTGTCTTCATTTTAGTGAATAATTTGTTTTACTCGTCTGATTCTTTAATGAACTTTCCAATTAAAAGCAGATGTCATTTTTCACAGAACATAAATTAGAAATCATTTTATTACTAACAGGCAAAATATATACAAATAGTATTGAATTTGCCAGCAAGCACTGGGAATGTCCACACAATGATGGGATTTTCATATTGGTGACCCTATTCTAGCCTTAACTTGCAGCTCAATTTAAAGCTTAGTGAACCCTATGTTTTAATTTCCAAGGGAAAGGTGAATTTAGAAAGTCCCTCCGAAATATTCATGCCCATCTAAGAAAGGGCTGAGTTAAGAAAGCAAATAAAGAACATTGTGCTCTATGATCTATGATCATGAGGTTTAAAACTACCTGCTGTTATTTTGCTTACAGAATCTTTACCAGCTCGTTAAGTTTAAATGCTTAGAAAATCATTTTTAGTTTTGACTTTTACAAAAATTCCTCATACATCTTTTTTGTTTTTTTTTCCTGGCATTTGTCAGCCCTTAAATAAAATGTCCCAGAAAGCATGGCTTTTTACAGTTAATACTATTATATTGCATGGTATTTTGCTATCATGATAATAATAGTGAAATTGAATCTACTTTAAGTGAACACCTGAGAGGACTTCTTATACCTTAACACAGTCATTCCCTGAACCGCCTACAACCTTCCTGTGCTAATTTAGCCATTTAGTGACTTATTTAATGCCCTAGCCTTTGCCCGCCTTTGCTTTCCTTGACTTTTTTTACTCCAAAGACCTATTTTCAGCTAGCTTCAGCTTCCCACTACTGTGGCCACAACACTTTGTTTTATAGCATCACCCAAAACTGCTCTCATCACCACCTCCGTGCCTTCTTTCTTTTCCTGGTCTCTGTCCTCGTGCTACTCAGCATGTACTACTCAATCACCCGGTTTCTCTGTTTCTTCCTAATTCTGAAACAATTAGCATAATTATTCTGATCGTAATTTATCTGTTACCAGTTAGCCTTTCAAATCCCTTTATTTATCATCTGTTAATTCCCTGCTCCATACCCCTTAACAACTAGTCCAAAACCTTCGTGCTCTTTTAAAATGCTCAACTATCATGGAGCCAGGCTTTAACTAACCTCAAAGTCACTTAGTCCCACAGAGTGGAATTGCTTGTTCTTTTCTTCTCTGCCCAAACTTTTTGTCTCTTCCTTGCTTCTCTCTTTTACTTTTTTCCCCTCATTTCCAGGAGAAATGGATCCTATTCTAAATCCCACTGGTTCTATCTCCTATTCACTTTATATCTCTTTTCATTCTTAGTATCTCATTTTTCTGTCACCCTTCACTCCCCACCCCACCTCCACTCCTTTTTTTGCCTAGATAACTCCCACAGCTTGTTTGAGGTCTCAGCTCAGATATCGCTTCCTATAGGAAACTCTTATTAATTCTCTGGAAACCATTAGCTCCATTTCTCCATGATCCAGAATCGTCCTCCACATTTTCTTGATAACACCGACCCCCTTGCTTCAGTGCTCTAGCTCAGGCTGTCTCTCCTGCTTGGGACATGGTGAGTCATCCTTGCCCTCTCCCAAGACCCACCTCTACGCTCACCAGGTGAAATTCCTGTGCGTGTTTAAGACCCAATAAGATGGCTTCTCAGATACCCCAAAGCAGAAACTGATTTCACTTTCTGCTACACACTTGTTTTGTTTTCCATTTGAGCTTGTGTTCATAAAAGGTGCTGAATAATGCTTTTTAGATGGTTCCACATTCAGTGTAGGAGAGTTATGGAATGCCCATCCCGGTATCATTTGTGGCTGGTTCACAGATTATTGACTATGGAATGAGAGTCCTGTGCATATACTTAGTGGTGAACTGAAACCCAGAGCCTGCAAAAAGATGAGTTGAAGAAACTCTAGCTTTCAGTGGATTTTGTTAGAAGACAAGTGATTTCTTCCATACCATTAGAGGTAAGGATTTTTTCCTATAATAGAATACATAGCTATTATAAATATAGTTACAAAAATTTTACAAGGAAGGTAAAAATAACCACATGGGCATATAGACAATTTTGGAAAAAAGAAAACCTGATCATATTTTTTTTTTTACCTTTTCTTAGCTTTTTTTCTTTAAAGTGACACATAATAATTGTATATATTTGTGGGGTACATAGTGATGTTTCAATACATATAACATATGTATGTATATCAGATTGGGCTAATTACCAAATCCATCATCTCGCACATTTATCATTTCTCTGTGTTGGGAACATCCAATATCCTTTCTTCTAGCTATTTGAAAATATATATTGTGGTCATCCTACAGTGTTATAGACCATTAGAACTTATTCTTTATATCCAGCTGTAATTTTGAATCCTTCCCCTTTTAAATCAGTGGTGCCTTTGTTGAGACAATGATGTCAATGAAGAAAGTAGGAAGAAATGCGTCAGTTTCATCTTTCTGAATTAAGACTAATGATATCCAATATTGCACAGGGCTGTTTAAACTCCTGATGGATTAGTGTAACACTCATTCAAGGAGTCTAAGGGTAAGGATTTTGTTTATTTGTCATTGTATCTTCCACAGGCTAGCTCAATACTTATTGACTGAATGAAGTAATGTGTAAAACTAAAGTTAAATTTTAGATTTAGAAGTCATTAATACAATAATGTAATTTTCAAAGTTAGTTGAAAGTTTTAGGTTTAAACTACTATTCTTATAGAATCTATCTTCCAATTATCAGCATAATTATATATCAATTATTCTAAGTCAAATGTTACCTATTCATTAAATACCTTAGAATATTCTGTATCAGTGGTTCCAAAATTTGTCTGATTGTGTCATTTCCTTGTCCCTGACTGCAAATAAAATGCTTCAGATTTTCTTTTAAATCCTTATTTTTTTCACCCTACCAATATAAATTATGATTCAGTGGATAGGGGGTGAGCCTGGAAATACGTGTTTTTAAAACTTTCCCAAGAGATACTAACAGCCAATCAGATTTAAGAGGCTTTTTTAAAAAGTCTATATTTGAGGTTTATTGTAGACAAAACATAAACAGACCCTCCCTTCTATAAAGTTAGCCTGTTTCATTTAGGGAAATCACCACACAATCTAATAATTTCCCCTGTAGCTGAATTATGTGTGTTGAGATCCTGAAAATATCTCCAATGGATTGTGTAGACAATGAAAAAGTAAGTCCTCTGAGGACATTAAGATAAACTGGGACCATATGGTCAGCCCATGACACAATCTGATTGTAGGCAAATTGTGTTAGATGCAAGTATTTTGGCCAGCTAGACTTTTATTAAATTTAATTTAAAATGGAAACACCAACCAGGCTCTCTTACTTAACTAGAAGAAAATGTGATTAATAGGAACAAGAAATCTAAGAAAAACAGGGACGAGACACTAAAGAAGAAAATGGTTCTTGGAATACACAAATCTTGGGAATATTTTCCCCAGAATTCCCTTGTAATTAAATTTTCATCTATGTTGAACCAAGGAAGAAAGAATAAATGCATTTGTGCTCCAATGACTATTTTGAAGATTTGTTTATGAGCAGAGTGTGTTGTGATTTCATTTTATTTTCAAATTTTATTTTGCCACATAGCCATTTGCTTCAGTATGTATTAGCAACAAGCACCCTGCTTCATGCTGCTAAAGTGCTGCTGAGTGGAATCATTCAGTGGCCAAACACTGAAGAGAATAAGGGAAACAAGAGATTTCCAAGTCATGGGCTATTTTCCTGCAACTTTAAAAATATCTGAATGAACTAAAACAAACTAACTGAATCTCTAAAATATGCAAATGAACTAAGATAAGAAAGCAGCAACTAATAGTCAGAAATTAATTTGGTGATATCTGTCACTTCTATTACAGACTTGCAATTCCAATGTTGGTAAGGTTAATTTATGGATCGAACAGCCAGTATCGCACAGTTTGGGAGGGCATAAAATCCAGGAACTTGAAGCACAGCTAATTTGTCACTGAATTAACAGATGAGTCACTAGGAAAGCAGAAATGTACAAACTGGTGGTGACTGTCATTGCACTGCAGTAAAAATAAGGCTCAAAAAAGCAAAATCTTCTTCCTGAAGCTGCTTGACAAGCTTGGATAAAAAGTGTACCTCTAGCTGGTGTTCTTTGCTCTTATCCACAAGCTCTCCCTGGTTCAATCGCAATGATTTTCACCGTATGTCTGGGAGGTGAAACAGCACACTTCTTTCATCTCTAGGTGAAATGCAAAATCACAGTCCTTCCTGTTTGCAATCTGTGCCTTTGCTGGACTGCATCATAGTGAGGGCAAAGTTCAAATGGCCTGTAGACACTGAACTCAGCAAGCATGGCAGACTGAGGCAAGACACTTCTCTCCAGAATGACCCTGACATTTGCACAGGTCAGCATAGAAATGCCCCTGAAGGGAGCATGAGGAGAAGAAACTGCCACCCAGTTTATAATCCAACTTGACATAATCAGAGAGTTTCAACTTCTAAAGGGCTCAATGCCACTCTTCGAAAGCATAAACATTTCTGTTAAAAACAAAAATCTTAAGCAGACGTTCAAATATTCTATGATTAAAATTGCCAGGTTTGTTTTACCATCTGCTAATGCAATCATGCAAAATTCTATGATTTTGTGTCAATGAGTTAATTCTAGTTGTTCCGAATGGAACTGTGGACTTGGGGGTTAAACAAAAACTAGGCTATATCTAATGAGATGGTCTAGGAATCAGCCATGCTTTGGGAACTATGCATGAACTCAACACATGCTTCTGCCAGATTTGATTTTGGCCAGTAATCTCCACAGTTAATATTTTTTAGTACTTTTCAAATATATTCCCTATTGTTTTTTGGTCCACCTTTCCCCCACTTAAAACTTAAATTCTGAAGTCAAGCTTATAATGAAAAATTACCACTTGATGTTGAATGGTTAAAATCCCCTCATACACAGGGAAGTTTTTGTGTGAGCGAAAGCTTACTAAACATACTGTGGTTATCATTATTTTTTCATTTCAGTTGGAGCCCCTAACATTCTTACTTTTTGGATCTGCTTGCTGGATAATTGTTATGCCAAGTCATAACTTCATTTAAAGAGCTAAGCTAGGACTAGCAGTGGGGGGGAAAGAAAGAAGAAATCTTTTTTGCCTTCTTGTCTATCAGCACTAATCCTCTGAAAAGTACCCTTTCAATCAAGGGATCCAAGAGAAGCTCAATTGCCTCAGCAAATGGAATACTGAAAGGTACAGTTAAAAAGGTTCCTACTGTGAGTGAAAAATGAAAATAATGGTGTGACCTATGGAGACACTGCAAACCTGGGAACACACAGGGCCTCTTGTCTGTATCAGGTCCGAGATATGCAGGCATCTCTGTCAAATTAAAAAGCCAAGGAAGTGGACGGCTTTGGCTTCCTGCTGGTGGGGACAAGAACTGGAAATATTTTATTGCAAAGTGACTGAGACCCTGTTAGAAGTTTAACACTTAGCAGGCAGGCAGCAACCGCTTAGAGAAAACAGAACGAGATTTTCTCCATTGGGCTCCTCCAGCCTTGACAAGGGTGACAACTATATTTTTTAAATAGTGTGATGGATTCAAATGGCTCTGGAAAGTTTTATCTTAAAAATAAAATGGTGGAACTGTCCCCTGTGAAAAATGGCTGGGGAAATAAATACATTACCAGAATGGTATAGAAATGCATCAGAAACTGCCTATAGATTGCCCAAAGAAAACAGAACCAATTTTCCGAGAAGATTGAATAGAAATATTGAATGGACTCAGCTTCATTTAATACCCACAGAGTTCATGTGAAAATGTAATTAAGAAGACTGGGGATGGAGAACAAAAAAAGATAAGAGACACAAAATGGACCTTTACAGCTTCTTTGGAAGGTCACAGTCCACTTTTTATAGCATGATGTCAAGCACAAGGTGAAAGTGGGTTTTCAAAGAGTTGGCTCTACTCCAAAGGTCTCTCTTTAATGTTGCTTGCAAAATTTATACTGAAGGCAGATTTATGAACATTGTTGGAGAACAGGTATTCCTCCTCTTGTTCATAGAGAAGAGGTTTATTATTTTGGTCCAGTTGCTAAGCAAAACTAAGTCTGAGTTTGGGCTGTAAATTTTCAACTATATCTATATTAGCTTTATGTTTATTCTGAAATGGTGAGCCTTCTGATTTCAAATCTGAGAATGCCAGGGTCATATAAGATTTTTATCACCTCCGAGGTCTCGTCCAGGCCATATGGAAGTTTTACCTAGGCAATTCCAAAATAATACGGCTAATCATTATTTGATGAGAAAAACAATGTATCAAGACTGAGAAGAGTCAAACTACCTGAGTTTCAAATTTGGCTTTTTCACTTACTAATGTTGACACCTTGGGCAAGTTGGTCATCTCCCTGAGCCCCAGATACTCCATCTGTAAAATGAAGATAATAACAGTTCCTACTTCATAGGGATATGATAAAAATTAAATGAGATAATGCATGTAAAGTGTTTAGCACACCACTAACATACAGGAAGAAAAATCAACCCTTACCATCTTGCAGACAGTTAAGATAACATCCTAGAGCTTAGTATTGTTAGACTGAGCATGCAATGGCTATATTTCATTTCTTCATATCCTAACTTCTGCATTTTCCTTGCCCCTGTTTTTCTAGGCCCTCCCCAGCTTCTCCATATTTGTTAAGTAGTCTCTCCCTAATCAGCATAGAAGGTTCTGATCAATACCAAATCTTTTTAAAGAATTACCTGCTTTATTCTGCATCTTTACGCATTATTTCTCCACCTGAGTTTGAGTATTAATGCCCCACAGGTCTTAATAGACAGAAGAAGAAAGAATGGTACAAAGAGAGGAAATGAACTAACAGAGGAGCTGGAGAACAGAGACAAAGCAAAGAAAGAAACAGAAAGACTTGTGAGAGCTGGTGAACTCAGTTGGTGATTCAGCTGGTCTTAGCTACAGAACGTTTTCCCCCAACGTTGTTCCAACTGGAGCACTGGTCCCCTGAGATGACTAGCAAACAGTTCATTAACCAAGAGAGTTTGTCCAAAATATTCCACACCACACTTTCCTCTAGGAGAGTCTCAATGCGTGTTAGTACAATAAAGATGCCAAGAAGTACTGCAGTAAAAAAACAAAAACAGAAACAAAAACCACACACACACACACACACACACACACACACACACACCATTTTACTTTGTTTCATCTCATAAGACTGATCAATACTTAACACTAATCAATAACATTTTGGGAAACATTTCACTACCATTATTTTACAACTGGGTTGCAGGAATACCCATAAATAAAGAACAAATTTTGGAGAATTAATGAACCAAAACTGATGGGCAGAAAAGTGGGACTAACATTCAGTGAGTGCCTATTATGTGTGCCAGAAATTGTACTGTTTTAAAAATATTTGCTCATTCCCAGTAGGTTAAAGTAATGGTTTTTAAGTGGTAGGCTTGATAAAAGTGCTTTATGAAAGAACATCTTGGCACATATTAGTTTTCCTTACGTGGGGACGCAATAGCTCTTTAAAAATGGAAAGATCTTGAGAACTCACGTAGCCCGTATCTATGCTTAAGAGTGTTGCTTTTGCATGCACTGAGAAATTGCAGATTTTGGAGTCTATCCTCAGTTCCCTGGAAGGTAGCATGAGACAAAGACCTGTGAATTAGTCCTGCTACTGCCACTTACTGGATATGTAACCTTGAGTAGCATACTCTTCTGAACCTATGTCAATACTAGAAAAAATAATATCTAATTTAAGGGTTTTTGAGGATTATACTTATAAGCCACAATTTTACATAACTGATACTTCAAATAATTCAAATTTCTTACTCTATGTTTTATATTCCTGTATTCATTGATCAAAATGTTTTTCTCTTGCACCTAAAACTATAACAGTTCCCATGGACACAAAATATGTGTACAATTTGTATCTTAACACCTGCTAATTGTTATTTAAAATACTACTGTATTGAGTGTGTGTGTGTGTGTGTGTGTGTGTGTGTCTGGAGTTCAGTGACATGATCACAGTTCACTGCAGCCTCTACTTCCTGGTCTCAAGCGATCCTCCCACCTCAGCCCCACCAAGTAGCTGAAACTACAAGCATGCGCCACTATGCCCATATGTCCACTATTTGTATTTTTTGTAGAGACAGAATTTTGCCATATTGCCCAGGCTGGTCTCAAATTCCTGGGCTCAAGTGATCTGCTTGCCTTGGCCTCCCAAAGTGCTGGGATTACAGGCAACCGCACAAACCATTTTATTCTTTCTTTATATTCCCCAAGGCATCTGTCTTAGCATAGTGCTGGGTACATAGTAATACCATAGTAGTTACTTTGTGAAATGAATGAATGGAAAAATTAATGGCAAATTGCACTAAAATTGTACTTATTTTACACAATGTAATATAACAAATGTAACTTAATAACAGGATACTTTGTACTGGTAGAACAAGGCAGGATGGAGTCAGACTGAGACTTCTGAAATCTTGTGCTAAATTTTCCACGCTTAACAAGTAGCCTATGCCTATCACTCAACCTCAGCTTATGTGAATACCAGAAGATTCACTAACAAGACAGCCATGTTAGAGATAATCATTCTTTTATGACAGTGGGTCTGACTTCAGGACTTTTGCAAGAAACTTGAATTTCCCTTCAAATAAATTGAATGTAAACATGCTTGGTTTACTCCAACTCATATTTTAATTCTGTTTAATGTTTTTCCATCCTCATGCGACAAAAAGTAAAAAGCTACCTCTTTTCATTTTCTGAAAGGTCTATATACCATTAAGAGTGAAGCCTTGAGAGGTGAAACTGATATCACAAAGGAGGAAATACAGAACAATAACAGCTATTCATTTTATGAAGGGTAACAGAACTTCATTTTATTAGGTTGGTGCAAAGATAATTACTTTTAGTGGCAAAAACTGCAATTACCTTTGTACCAACCTAATAGCTCTACGTGTAGGCAGACACAAAAACAACAGTCATAAGACATGTGATTTCTCTTCATTTCTTGTACACATTTACCCACATTGACAGTGAGACTGAATTGTGGGAAAGATGTGTTTTTATACTTAAATGAATAAACATTGGACAAAACGAGTTCAAGATTTAAAACTGTTGTTCATTGTATAGGGGGTATATTTTTAGGTGGAGTTCATAGAAATGGAAGTGACCTGTATTCAGGTCAGCTGGGAGCTCTGCCAGTCACTCATCCCAACTTCCTGCCTCTTTCTACTCTCCCATTTTAGCCTCTTTCTGTGTCTTTTCCCCACTACATCTACATGACACTCAAACCTGTAGTGAAGCATTTACCACTACAGTATTTACTGCACTTTCATGATTTGAAAATCGAATGGCAGATTTCTGATATACTCAACATATCTAAATATTCTCTGAATCTTATCAGAAATTATAAAAAGGGGTGTCTCTGTCAGTTTGAGTTTCTATAACAAAGTAACATAGACTGAATGACTGGTCTACAATAGATATTTTTGTCTCATTGTCCTGGGTGTGGGAAGTTCCAGATCAGGGTACCAGCACGGTAGAGTTGTGGTGAAAACCCTCTTCTGGGTTGCAGGCTGCCAACTTACCGTATCCTCACATGGTGGAAGGGGCAAGGTAGCCCTCTCAGGCCTCTTTCATGAGGTCACTAATCTCCCAGAGCCCTACTTCCTAATGTCATCACCTTGGGGATTAGATTTCAGCAGAGGAATTTGCGGGGGACACAAGCATTCAGTCCATAACCGGGGAGATGTGTAAAATAAACTTAGTAAGAATGATCTGTTGCAGGAATGGAATTCTGCTGTTGAGAAGCTGAAGAGCGGGGCACTGAGAATTCTGCTCTCAAAGGACTACGCGGAGAAAGAACACCTCCAGCTCTCTCACCAGAAACTGAGTCAGCTTCAAGAAGAATTTGGTCAACTCATGGTGGAAAGGAATACCTGGTTAAAGAAGGCAAATGAATTTTTTAACAGTGCTAACAAGGTCAGTGTGAGATCAAGTTGATAATTTTCGGTAATCAGGGAGACCAGTAAAAAACCCATGACTTCAACCAACTGGAGCACATCACAGAAGTCAAAACTCCCTGTAAAATTTCAAAACTGATAGCAGCAAAGAAGAGTTGTTAACATATATTCCTATTATGGCCATTATTTGGTTCTCAAAACTAGAAGACTGTTTTCCCATGTAAAAGGTGACTTTAAAAACAGCAAACACACCTCATGAGGGTTTTTTGTTTTTTTGTTTGGTTTGGTTGTTGGATGGTGTTTGTTGTTGTTTTGAGAAAGGGCCCGGCTCTGTCACCCTGGCTGGAGTGTAGTGGCATGATCATAGCTTACTGCAGCCTCGACCTCCCAGACTCCAGTGATTCTCCCATCTCAGCCTCCCACGTAGCTGGAATCACAGGCACATGCCACCATGCCTCACTTTTTATTTTGTAGAGACAGGGTCTCACTATGTTGTGCAGGCTGTCCTCAAACTCCTGGGCTCAAGTGATCCTCCTACCTCGGCCTCCCAAAGTGCTGAAATTATAAGCGTGAGCCACCATGTCTAGCCTCATGAGGGTTTTATCTTACAGCTGCCACTGGTCTGTTTGGGGGGGGGACACTTGTGCCCACATTATTGTGTTTCCATGGAGGAAGAGAATTATCATAAATATATCAAGGTTTAAAAATACCTTAAAATTTTTACCGAAGGCCCTCCTTTTTTTCATCCTCTTTTATTTACCAAGTAAAAAATATATGAATATTGCAAGTCTTTTTGCACACAAGCCATAAGGCTAGAAACAGTGCCTTAACCTGATTGTTGCACCTTGATCTTGCCATTTTAAGTCAGCCAGAGTGAAATCTGGCTGTGGACCATCTCCAGGTCTTCTTGAGTTGGAGAAGTGCTCTGCTTCTCCTCTCGGATTCACTGGACGTTCATTGCAGCAGCTGGTTCCTGCTAAGTGGCAGTGTTCACCTGTTCACATCACTTGAGTATGGCTCAGTATACGAGGCTGGGGATCTTATTTGAAATTTTTTTCTACCTTTTCCAATGTAATATACACCTTCAAATGGTGTTTTTGGAATTCTTTCATACCTTAAATTTCACTGATGTTTTCAAAACAGACAATGTGGCAGGAAATGAAAGAGGAAACCCTAGAAGCTAGGTACGTTGTGATCTAAAATCGTATCGTCAACACCCTGAATACAATGTCCTGTTGCATATCAAAATAGTGACTTAATTTTGAACTTCTTTACTAATAAAAACTTTCTGAAAAAAAATACTAAAATTTCAAAACAGAAGTGCTAAATTGTGGTAAAATGTTAAAGAAAGATTTATTGTCAGATTATTTGTCATTTGGGATTTCTTTGTTTTAAGAGAGGAAACGGACATACCATATTACTGGAGCTATTGAACTAATTCGATGTTAAGTGCTAATTAAGTTTCTCCTCAGTAATTCTGTTTTTGAATAAGAGACTTTTAAATTTAAACTGCAGGTTCATTTTTCAAAATGAGTGGGTCATCTACAAGTCAGTTAATATTGTTTCTAAGGAAAACAGTTATCAAACATATTGCTATAAAACAATGCTTCCAGTTCAAACCCTATAGTTTACAGCGTTGCAAAATGTACTTTCTCTCTTTCATTCCCATTCTCTTACTCTGGTTTTCTCTGCTCTCATTATTTTGTACTTTGCTGTTATATCTTTCTGGGTTTTAACAGAGAAGGAATATCCCCTCCAAAAGTCTTTAAAAAAAAAAAAAAAGAAAAGAAGAAGAAGAGAGTGGTTACTTTCTCACACTCATACAGTAATTCAGGTCAGACTGGAGAAGAGAATGTATGTTTCTTAATCACAAAGACTTTTGATTTCTAGATTCCCCATTTTATCATTTGAAAGCCATGGCATGCTAACTATACAAATTATAATAAACTCCACTGGGATTTATCCATACTATAGCAGGTTCTATAGCCAAGTGGCGCTCAGAATAGTGTTAGAATCCTTTCTCCCTTTTCAAAGAATCAAGGAAAAGTAAAAAATATATGAATATTGCAAGTCTTTTTGCACACAAGCCATAAGCTTAACACTAATCAATAACATTTTGGGAAACATTTCACTACCATTATTTTACAACTGGGTTGCAGGAATACCCATAAATAAAGAACAAATTTTGG